CCAGACAAGATCTGGGTCTGGGAGGGATTCTACCACAATGTTAGGAAAATGGGGTTTAAGATGTTCTAGGATTTCTACACAGAAATGTGTGAGAGAGTTTGAGGGGTCAGGAAGAAGGGTCGCCGGATTGAAGGAGGGCTTCTGTCTACCTTGAAGTTGGGTGTTTTTATGAATATGGTGTGAAATTGCTGTACTCTTGATGGTGATAGGTAGCTCGTAGCTTTATAGGAGAGGAGGTCCTGTAGATTGTGTGGGCAATAGATAGTGGTATCCTGTCCAAAGTTTAATTTCCTACTTTCCTGAGCTAAGAGGGCAACTGCTGCCAGGGCGCATAGACAGGTGGGCCAACCTTTCACTGTGCCATCTAGCTGTTTTGACAGGTAGGCTACAGACCCAAAGGTGGGTCCCTTGTTTTGGCCCAGTACTTTGAGGACAATACCTTGTCTTTCGGTTACATAGAGGAGAAAAGGCTTAGACAAGTCTGGGAGGGAGAAGGCAGGGGCAGGGAGAAAGAGCTTGTTGAAGAGCTCTGAAGGCCAGGATAATGTTGACAGTGGGGTCTAAGGGCTCTGAAAGGGGACTCTTAGCAGCCTGGTAGAGCGGGTGAACTAAGAGACCAAAATTAGGGATCCAGATGCAGAGAAACCCTGCCAGTCCAAGGAAGGAAAGGATTTCACCTTTTGTGTTAGGAGGGGTAAATCTCTAATGAGAGCAGTTTGATCTGCTGTGATGGCTCTCTGGGTGGGGGAGAGCTGAGTTCCTAGGTAGGTGACAGTCGGAGTGGATAGCTGGGCCTTGGTAGGGGATACCCGGTATCCCCTAGAGGCCAGGAAATTTAGTAGGGAGGTGGTGTGAGGGACTACAGAGAAGTAGATCATCTACATATTGTAGAACTGTACTGGGGGCTAGATTGAGGGAGGCCAGATCTGAGGCAAGTGCCTGGCCAAAGAAGTGAGGACTGTAGCAGAAACCTTGTGGGAGGGCCGTCCAAGTAAGCTGTCTGGATTGTAGGGTGTCAGGGTCTGTCCAAGTGAATGCGAAAAGGTCCTGGGAGTCTGGGTGGAGAGCGATGGTAAAGAATGTATCCTTAAGGTCTATAACTGTGAAATGAGTGGCAGTAGAAAGGATGAGAGATAGGAGCATATACGGGTTCGGGACTACAGGGTGAATGGGAAGTACCAGAGCGTTGATGACTCGGAGGTCCTGGACAAATCTATATGACCCATTGGGTTTCCATACTGGCAGGATGGGGGTATTGTATGGAGAATGGGTTGATCTTAGGAGGCCTTGAGCAAGGAGTTAGTCAATAATAGATTTGAGTCCCTTTTGATGGGGGAGTGAAATGGGGTATTGTGGCTGGTTTGGGAATTTAGAGGGGTCGCGGAACTGTATCCTTATGGAAGGATGGTGTTTGGCGACAGAAAGAGTCAAAGTACCCAAACGAGGGGGTTGACCACAGAAGGGGACAGAGGAGGTTGGAGGGGAGATGAGAAGATGGTGGGATCGAAAAGAAAGAGTAAGCCTGTCTCTGAGTTTGGGAGATGGAAGGAGAGTGAGACCTTAAACTTGGAAAGGAGGTCCCTTCCTAGTATAAGAGTAAGACATCAGGGAAGAATCAGGAAGGAGTGTGAAAATAGAATGTTAAAAAGAGGGCATGACAGTAAGGGGGTTGAGAGGGGCTGAGATATTAGGCCATCAACTCCCACAACAGAGACCTGGGAGGGGTGTGTGGGGCCTGAAAATTCAGGCAGAGCAGAAAAGGTGGCCACTGTATCTATCAAAAGGAGATTGGCTTACCTGCCACTAGAAGCATTACCCTGGGCTCCAAGGTGGTGATGGGAGATGGGGCCGAGGGCCCTGGGCACCGCCAGTCTTCAGCGGTGAGGCCGAGTAAGCTTGGCAGGGTGAGATGAGACTCGTCGTCCATGGGGGTAAGAGAAGTGCCTCTTCCCTGGGAAGGACAGCCAACCTTCCAATGTTCCCTCTTACCGCAGGAAGGACAGGGTCCAGGCGGGGGCTGCGGACTGGGGCAAGCTCTTGCCCAGTGCCCGTCTTTGCCGCACTTGAAGCATGGTCCGGGAGGAGCTTTCTGTGGGCCCCTTGATGATGGACCTTGTGCCCTGTTAGGAGCTCCCTTTTGGTCAGAGCCCCTGATAGCCTCCACCAGCAGCTGGCATTTTGTCTGATCTTGTCAGGCCTTTTCTAGTTTGTCCTGTTCGTCCCGATTGTTAAAGACCTTAAAGGCCAGGGCTGGAAGGTCCTGTTGGAGGATTTGAGGGCCTTTTTCAGCCTTTCTTAGTTTTTTCCAGATGTCTGGAGCTGACTATGAGACAAAATGAGTATTAAGGACAATGACTCTTTCCCTAGATGAGGGGTCTACCTTAGTGTATTTCTGAAGAGCCTCAGTGAGGCAGGATAAAAATCAGAGAGAGAATGGGACATGGACTCTGATAATGCCCTCTGCTCCAGCCACCTCCCAAAACAGGAGAGGAGCGGGGTGCACTCGAGAGCCGGTGAGTGGTGGCGTCGGGGGGGGGCCTGGAAGGGAGGTCGTGTCTTCCTGGGGAATCAGGGCCAAAGGCCCTGAGGTTTCACAGTTTGAATTGTCGGTAGAGGAGGAGGTTGCAGGAGAAAGAGGGAGTGCAGGTGCATAAGGAGGGGGAGCAGTGGGAGCAGGGGAAGTTTGGTGTGTGCTAGAAGTATCTGGAAGGTGGAACAGGATTGGAAGAGGGAGGGACAGGATCAGAGAGCAAAGAAAACTTGAATATAGGGGATCTCTGACCACTTTCCATTGCGATGACAGAAGTTATCTAGGTCCCTAAGAGTGTTAAAGTCAAAGGTTCCATTTTCAGGCCATTGAGATCCATTACCTAATTTATATTGAGGCCAGGCAGTGTTGCAAAAGATATTAAGCATTTAGGCTGAATTTCATTCCGCAGGCCAAGGGTGTCTAGATTGCGCGGGAGGCAGCCTAAGGGCTTGTCCTTAGGCGGGAGACGAGGAGGTGCCCATGGTGTGAGTTAGATGTAAGAGAAGAGCGAGGGCAGAAATCTCCACTAGGAAAAGGATAAAGGGAGGAGGCATCCCACCTTCTGATATCCTAATCTGGACAGTGCGAGAGACCTCTCTCAGGATGGGCGTCCCCAGACTGAGAGGGTCTGGGCCCATGGGACGAGGGAGTCTTCTGGCCTAGTGCTATGTCTTGGACTGAGGAGCCGAGACAGAGAGAAGAAGACCCGAATAAGAGTAGGGAATCCGTACTCACCCAAATAGGAGATGTGGACTAGCCTACTGATATCTGTGAGGTCAGCAATGGAAGTGAGAAATCCTCTGTGGGTGTCTCCCCAGCACGTTTGGGAGGGAGACCAGAGCATGATTCGAGCCCAAGGGAGGGAGAGGAGGGTAAGGGCGATCCAGCACTTTCCTGGTCTTGCCCCTCCTGGGTTTCGGCACCAAAATGAAAGGTTCGCCGAGGAGAGAGGGTGCAAGAGACACTGATATTCAAGCAAGCAAGTTTATTAACCTGCCGGGCTGAGGCCGTGAGAGGCGTCAGCCCTGACTAAGGGAAGAGTCTAGTTTTTATAGGGTGAAGTAAGTAACCAGTGTCAACGGCTGGTGGTGGCATCAGCTGGGGGCAACGGCTGGTGGCACTGGCTGGGGGCAACAGCAATGGATAATTTCTACTTGTGCCAAGCAGGATATGGATGATGTATTTCCTGCTGGGTTTCACGCCAAGCAGGATGCAGGGTGTGCACCCTTTACTGCATGGCTGAGCTGGCCTTCAGGGCAAACAGTACCTTACAGGTAGCCACTCATTTAATTCAGCATGACTTCCCACTCCAGTGCTCACACTGAGAACTCTCTCTTCGCCTATATGCATAGTGCCCCAGCATCCAGGTAGACTCAAAACCACCCTCCCCGGCAGTGTTTCCACAGCTGAGCACTGGGAAAACTGACTGAAAGACACTTTTCTGCCCACAAATCTCTCCAGTACAAGTAGCTTTATATCACATGGGTAATAAATCCTGTAATGGTGTTTCCATTGAATTCAGCTTTGAACATTTCAAATGAAATCCTGTGACATTTATGAAGTTTCAATATTTTGATGAATTTGATTTATTAACTCAGGCTGTATTGTCTATTTCAGAGTACTTTTCTCTCTCCTATTTTATTCTTCTTTATTTGTTTACCTGAATAATTTGTCATTTTCTTGTCTTCATTCCTCTGATTTCTAGTTGTGGTTTCGGTCCAAACAGGGCTGTGACTATTCAGTGGAGAACGAATACACTTGACAGACCCAGCTTAGAAACACCTGACTCCCAAGTACTGTGTGATTGGCAAGAAGGCTGGCCCTTTAATCCCCTTTGTTTTTCCCAGAGTTTTTTAGAGGTATTTAGTTTCAGAGGAGTTCAGATTGGGTGGCTGGCCTGCTGTGCATAAATCTGCTTACTTGACCACCTGTCAGATGACTGAGTCTTACGAGAGGGCTGGCCTAGGGACCAAGACTGTATGACATTTGTGGCTGAATTCTCTCCCTGCTTTGCCTTTACAATGGGTTCTGCTATATAGAATCTTCCCCTTTTACGGTGGTGGTGATAATCCCAAGAAACGCTGTTGTCCTGGAAAGGGTGTCACAAAGGAGCAGCTACTAGGAGCTGAAAACTAACTTGGCTCCCTCCCCCCCTTCTTGCCTTCCTTTCTCTATGAAGCAGTTTTTAGGCAGCTGCTTCTGGCCAGACACAGAGCACAGCAGTGTTGGGGGCACACATGCGGTGCTGCGCCTGTCCTCTAAGGACTAGTGGGGAGACTGACAGTGAACAAACAAAAGGTATCACTAGGGCATCTGTGCACAACAGGGCTGCAAGTGCTGGAAGAGGAGCTGTTATCTAGAGCCTGCCTGCTCGCCACTCTGAAATCACTGAAGATGATGTAGGGATGCAGCTGTTACCTTGAAATAAGGCTTAGGGAAGCAAGAAAGGTTCTTTCATGAAAACGTTTAATAAAAATATTCACCTCATGCTTCAGTTTATAGGAAATGAAACAAATCTATTACTTACTACATAAAAATAAAGAGGATATACAAGCTCCTGGCTTTCCTAGGAGCCAGGGACTCTGAGGTCCTGTGGGTGTGGACTGTGGGTTATCCTTGCAGGCCAATCAGCAATCTCCCCTTCATTGATGAGGCATTGCAGGAGGAAGCAGGGCAGGACGGTGAGAAAACTCAGCAGGCACTTAGCAGTTAGTCCATTCGAATGTGAGGTGAGAAAGTCTTTGAGGTCTGAAAAAGCCCAAAAGTGTGTAAGACAATCTGCTGCAAGGGAGTGAAACAGAGATGTTTGCAACTGCTCTGCTGAGGGTCCTTTTCTGCCTTGGTCTCCTCAGCAGGCTCTGCATCAGGGTGGATGGGCATGAGGCCGAGCCCATGGCCGCTCACCTGGCACTTACAGTGACCAAGGGCTGTGCACTGGCAGGGGAAGCCACAGGGCATGGGGCGTGGGGCACAGCCTAAGGAAGGTGTGCTTGCCTTAGCTTTCATATTCCTTTCCCTGTGGCCAGCAACAATGGGATTTGTGGAACCTGAAGCTGAAGGATAATTTGTTGATTGTTTTAAAGGCTAACAAAGAAATGACCCTGCAGCCCCTCTCATTTAGCACATGAGTTGATGAAGGTGATCTTTGAAAGTTCCACACCAAGTCATTTAGTAATGAGAACAAAGAGACCCAATTTAAAATACAGTACAATAGGGCCGGCCGAGTGGCGCGATGGTTAAGAGCTCGCTTGGGATGCCAGAGGACCCCGGTTCGGATCCCACATATGAGGGCCAGTGACACTGCCCTCCACAGCTAAGATGCTGAACAACAGCTCAACC